CAAAACTGAACAGATGAGTGTCGTCATACGTTTTGTCCTCTGCAATGATGGTTTGGCAGAAATCAAGGAGTATTTTTTTGGCTTTATTAAAGTTGATGATTCTACAGGTAACGGCCTATGTGAGACAGTAATGGAAATGTGGAAAATTTGGAACATTCCCCTTGATAATATGAGAGAACAGGGCTATGACAACGGCACAAATATGAAAGGGAAGAAAAATGGGTCTTCAAAATATTATCTTAAAAATAAATTCTCGCGCGTTTTACTTCCTCGTGAAGCTCATAGCTTAAAATTTAATGATTAACGATGCAGCAAAGATGAATGCAGATGCAGTTAGTTTTTTTTTCGACAATTTAAGAATTATACAATTTATTTTCTTCTTCTCCTAAGCGATGGACAATTCTTTTGAAAAACATTTCCCGTTTAACCTTAAAACCTCTCTCAAACACTCGATAAGAAAGCAAAATTGAAACCATTCGACCTTTAACCCTTTGCGGCACAGTGTGTCCGGTCTGGACACACCTAAAAATTTCCTTCTGTACGCACAGAAAAATTAAATGAAAAAGGATTTATAGGTTACTCTGAACCTTCTTTATTTATAGTAGATGGAGCTCAACACAAACCAGTCCATATATTTTAGCCATGTTTAGTTTTTTAAGACCCTCATTATTCAAAGAAATCTTCCAGATTTTTTTAGGGTATAAAAGGAATTGTTTTAAAAGAAATTTCTATGTTATTTTTTTTGGCTGTATGCTAATCTCCTTATTCTATATTAGTTTTAAATTTTTACCTTGAAATCTTGCCTAAAATAAAACGGCGAACCCTAGGTGTGCCCAGAACGGGTTCACCGATAATCTAGGACAACTGAGAGTCTGTATTCTTTGCTTCTCCGCATTTCATTGGTCAGTTCATTGACAATAATGCTCGTTTCAGCACTCTTTTCGAAGCTCTATTCAATCAGTGTGCCACTTTGGGCACCCACAGAATTAAAACGATAAGTGCTATCTTCACAAAATTTTTACTTGTGTACTCCTCTAGGCCTAATTAGACTGTCTATCTTTTGTTTAAAATCAAAACTTCTACTTTAAAAGGTAGCGTGCCGGAAAGGGTTAAGATATCAACTAGGAAAAATCTATAACGCTCTTTTTGAAATATCCGAAGGTGAATCCTTTTCAAAAGAAGTGCAACATGAAGCACGAAGTCTGATTGAAAATCAAGAATTATAAATTTATTTGTTCTTTACTTTGACACGATTTGTTTAACAGAATTAATCCTATCACCAAACAAGAAAGTGGTTTAAGTATTACACTAGACTTAAAGGCAATAAGTAACTTAAAAATATTCGTTGAAGAATATAGAAGTATTCTTGAGAAAGCCAAAAAACTGAGTGTAGAAGTGAATGGCGAGCCATAGAGTAAAACTTCCGAAGAAGTCCGACGAAAGAAAAATAAATGTCGTTTCGATTACGAGCATGCGGACGAATCCCCTTAATCTCCAGAAGAGAAGTTTAGGGCAAATGTCGTTTTTTAGAATTTCGGATAATGGTTGGGTATCATTAAACGAAAGATTTGATGCAATGAAAAATCACTGACATAATTTTAGTTTTCTGGGTAATTTATCAGAAATCGATAATGCAAATATAAAATAAAATGCAGTAAATTAGAAAAATGTTACAGTAGCGTGACAATAAAGATATTAATGCAGAAGAACTTTATGACGAAATAGTAGCTTCGAAAGACATGTTTAGAGCCAGTATGAATGACCCATTCGATATTCTGAACTTTAATTGTATTAAATAATTTGTGCTTCCCGAATTTGAAGATCATATTGAGAATAATTTTTAGCATTCTTGTTAGTGTTGCTAGTAACGAAAGACCACTCTCCAAATTAAAATTGATCAAGACATATTTACGGTCAATTATATGGCAATAAAGACTCATAAATCTAGCTTTGATTGCCATTGAAAATGAAATCTGCCGAGAGATAGATGCAAAAGAAATTATAGAAAAATTTGTAAATATGAAATGCAGAAAAATAAATTATTCCCGATAAATTGTTAAAAAAATTTCAACTTTGCTTGGATGCTTTCTTCAAAACTTCCTTCTCCTATACAAAATTTAAGAAAAGGGGGGGTGACTTCAGCTATCTTGTAGGCGGGCGTCGGATGACCTTGCGCCGGAGCTGAGTAAACAAATTCAAAGTTCGAGAACCCGAATCATATCAACCGATAAATCATGCTGCCGGTAATCGAAAAAAATCCTGGAAAGAACCACTACTCGTATAACCATCAATAACATCATCAGTGCAAGTCAGTAATTGCTGCAGAACGTACATTGAAGAATTTCACGATGTTTTCTTCCGCACATCTTCGAACGTAGGGCGAACCAGTCTGGCACAGCATAAAATTGATACGAGGGATCATCTGCTAATCAAGCAACACACAAGACGTCTGCCGATTGCTTAACAGGAACGGGTAAGAAAACTCCTAAAGAACATGGATGAAAGTGGTATTATCGAGATTTCAGCAAGTCCTTGGGCGTCTCCTATCGTCCTGGTCAGAAAGGACGATTGTTCAATTATACTTTGGATTGACTATTGCCGGCAGAACATCATGGCGAAAGACAGCTACCGTCTTCATAGAAATGATGGCATTCTTTCTGAAAGTAGAATGTAACAGTTGTAGGTAATTTCAAAAATGGATTATAACAGTAAATAGTGGCAGGTAGAGATACATCCTGATTGACCAAGAAAAATGGCATTTACTATCGGGCAAGAACAACAGTTCAAGGTGATACCATTTAGATTAGTAATGCGCCGGCAACATTCGAAAATCTCATGAAGACCGTGCTGAGAGGTCTTTCCTTCGAAGTATCTATGATGTACCTGGATGACATTATCATCGTCGGGAAAAGCTTTGAAGATTATTTAGAAAATATTAAGGTGCTTCAGTAATTGAATTAAGCGAATTTAAAGCCCTGCCAAATGTAACTTGTTCAGACAGGAAATGACTTATCTCGAACACGTCATCTCTGCCGAAGGTGTGTGTACGGATCCAGAAAAAGTGGCGGCAGTTAAAGACTGGAGACGCCTTCAAAGGAGCCTTGAGCTGAGAATTTTCATGAGGTTTCATCTACTGTAGAAGATTTGTAAAGGACTTCTCTTCCATCGCAAGACCACTTCACAAATGACAGAAAGCAAGCAAAAGTTCTAGTGGACAAAATGACAATGAGGATATATTTTAAAACTGAATAAGGCTTTTGAATCTGCGGCAGTCCTGACGTTCCTCAGCTCGACAAATTATTTATTCTTGACACTGATGCGAGGAATGGGAGTGACAATGTTGTTTTGTCCCATGAAATAAACGGGCAAGAATGTGTCGCAACATATTGCAGCAGATTTTAGAAGTGTCTATCTAAACCGGAGAGGAATTATTGTGTAATCAGAAAAGAGTTGCTCACTATAGTTAAAGCCGTAGAACTTTTTCACCATTTCCTTCTACGGCAGAAAATTTCTACTCCGCACAGATCACGCATCGTTGACCTGGCTCTTAAATATCAAGAATTCCGATGGCCAAAAGGATCATCTCAAGGAAAAGCAGAGGCACTGTCTACAAGACCCTGCCCAGGAAGCTACCAATATTGTTCTAGGGCTGAAGAGAAATACGAACTGGTTAATCTAGTGGCACGTCAAGTTACAATTTCAACATCGTCCGACCTAAACCTATGGAGTGACGAAAAAATCACAAAAGATCAGTCAGAAAACATAGACATAAATTAAATAACTGACCTAATCGTATCATCAGATAAGAAACCTACCTGGTAGGATATATAGTCCTCACAAAATAACATTAGGCTCTCAGGAACTTACTCCATATTCAAAACGGTGTCTTGTAGCGGATGTTCGAATTTGATGACAGAAAGGCATTCTGAAGGTAGCTGATACTTCTAAGATATCAGACAGACATATTTTAAAGAATCGCATAGCAGCCAGACAGAAAGCTACTTCGGTTTTATGAAGACTTTATATAAAGTTCGAGAGCGCTTTTACTAGAATAAAGCAAGAGCTGCCATGCAAAATGATGCCAAGCGAAATGGCAATGGTATATCAATTTACAAAGGTAATATTGAGGTAAATGGCTGCATTGCTTACCTGGCGATTGTTCTAGCGAGAAATCGCCAAACCTGGCAACATTCCTGTGTCTGGCCCTATCAATCTGTAACTGTGTATGGCTTTCCAGAAATTTTGAGAAATCGAAAGTGCTTGAAAGCCCTCGGCAGTTGGAGCAAAACTTTGGCCGAGAAGCGTATCACTTAAGAAATCGTTCAACGGGCAGGGGAGACGATACTAAAGAAGAGGGCAGTAACCTCAGAATAATAATGAAATATGAAACGTATACATGATACATAAAAATGAAATGGCAGAAAAAATATGAGAGGGAAGGAGCATGATTTCTCAGTTAGTTTTCAGGCTCAAAGCATTGAGATTGTTGTGCGAGCTCATGCATTCAAAGTTTTTAATACTGTGTTGTGTTTAACGTTCGTAATAATATGAAATGGTAACTACTGATTGTGCTCTGTCGTACTGAGAAGAGCTGTATGAGTATTTTTGTGAAAAGTTCTAGAAATGTACATTGTTTCTTTTAGGACATTGTTGGACAAATGTACATTGTACATTGTTTCTTTTTATCAACCTATCATTGATCGGTTCTGTGCACATTCAATTCATTATCAACTCAAACGCATGAAACATTATGTTGCATATGATCACTAATACCCTGGAGAGAATGCAACGAAATGTTCACTTTCATCATTGCTAATAATTAATTAATATTTTCATTTCTTCACGAATGGGTGTTTTTCTTTACGCATTCAGCCCGGGTCTCATTTAACAGACATACTGATCCTGTTGCCAGCAGAAGGGCATTTTTGTTTCTTAATTTAATACATTGTCCACATGAGATATATCATTTAAGTGACATTTTAAAAAATCAAATTTCCAATTACCTGTTTATTTTTTTCATCTAACAAAATCATTTTTTCCATGTCTATCACGACAGTAAATACAAATAATTCCATTTTCTTTGATGTATAAAAATATTTCCTATAAATGGAGCTCGTAATTTATTTTTACTATTTGGTGCTTCTATATCAACTATGTCATTAAGCCACTTGATTTCAAAATCATTTGCTGTCTTTCTTCTTTTTACAAGATTATATATATTTATATGAACATTCAGTGCAGTGCATAAACACATGATACTTTTAGCTATACTTGCGGGCAACGTATCATGTGCTAGTCGCTGTTTAACAATGCGAACTTTACTTACTTTAGGAGACAGCACCACTTCCTACAGTTTTATGACACAACACAGACACACTTTTTTAAAATACTGACTAATATGTAACATGAAAAAATATAATTATTAATATTATTTTGATAAATTTCATGCTTGTGTGTGCTTGTTAATTTTGTTTGTATGCTGAATTTTTAAAGGCGTGAGTAAGAACACATCCACAACTTAGAGGGAATCATGCTGCATGAGCCTCACAAACCTAAATTAAAAAAAAAAAAAAAATACATTCTAAATTGGTTCTTAATTTAGAAACGCACATACAAAAAATAATAAATGGTACTACAGCAAAAGTCTTTCATTAAAAGAAAAAAAAATACTTTGCACCCCCAAAAAAAATCACCTCAACATGGGCAAAAATGATCATTTTCTTTCTCTCTTAAGAATTAGTTAAAGACAAAAATCTAAGTAAAATTATTCAAGGCAAACCCGGCATCAACAGGTTAACTAAATTATAGCCAATTTTCTAACAAACATTTTTAGTATATAAAAGTATAAAAAATGACACCATTTCTTTTTAAAATGCTGCCTGCTGATAGCTAAATTTCTTTATCAGTATGCTTTATAGAAACCCTTTGCCCATCACCTCACACTAAGTGGTTATACACAATTAAAAAGCAAATACTGTTTATTACAAAATGTCACATAAATAAAATTTATTCATTAAATAAAACATACATATAGTAAGCTCAAAACAATCAAACAACAATAACAAAATAGACAACTGTATATATTTAAAAACCAGCATATATTTACAGTCACATATTTCAATTGCCAATCTGAAATCTTATATCCGGTATTGTGCAATAACATGCAATATACAAATTGCATTATTTGTATATATCTTGATAAAACAAAAACAGATTATTAGTTATTAATATGTACAAACAAAGCCATCAAATACAACGTAATGGTGAAACATAAAAAATGTAAAAATGGAATGCAATCAATACTTTTCACCATTCAAACGTATAGGGAGGGCACTCTGAAATTTTTTTACATATGCACAGATGAAAGTAGCAGAAAAAATTTAATGCACAAATGAAAGTGACCGAAAAAATTTAACACTTAGATTTGAAAATATGAACTATTTTAGCCTAGCAGACAATTTTCTATTGGCCAACTACAAGTAGTTTAACATAGAATAAATTTTACGCAAAAGGAAAAATGGAGTTGACACGACAACATTATCCGTACTGTTTTTCTGTGATATTAAAGTAGAATTAAATCAAGAAGAATGTGTTTGGTGTCTACAGTTAGCATTTGACGTTCTTATGGATTTATCAACTGCATCTTAAAATAACTTCACTGTTATCACAAGTAGAAGTGAAACACAATGAAGTACATCTACACACAATATGTTTTTTGGTTTTAATGAAGAAAATAGATCCTCCATAAAAACCTAGGGAGGGTACATAGCATCTGATAATGTTTCTAAGAAGTCGTTTAAATGGTTTAAAAGTAGTACGATTAACAACGTCAAACTATGTTCATAAAGAATGAAAGAATTTAATAGCTAAGAACTGGAAGAATTTCTTCTTAAAGACCACCCAGCTCAAACATTGGAGGACTTAGAAAATGAGTATATACAGTTTACTATAATTAATTAAGGATATTAATTTATATCCTTAAAACATTTAATGAATTTTTGCAAGCATATAATAATAATCTAACAAGCTATTATATTTAGTTCACTTCATTCAAATATGATTTATATTGATTTTATTTTTATCTAACAAGCTATTATATTTAGTTCATTTAATTTAAATATGATTTACAAAAAGTAACATATGGCTGTTTTCTTTAGAAGTACAGGACTGGTCAAAGCCCTATTTATTTTTAGAATTTATTTTTAAGTACATGAAATCAAACACAGAATCCAATTTTTTTTTTTTTTTTTTTTTTTTTGTAATTTACATTTAACACAAATCTTTGGAAATGTTAGTCTCAAATATAATTTATTTCTAGAAATACAAATTACGCTTTATATATAAAAATTAAAATGCTATGAATGAAAACAAAATATAACTAAGAAAACTGCATAAGGAAAAAAACTGCACTATCATACAGGAATAGTATTACTTATACAATCTCCGACAAAAATATGTCTTCACTCATTTATCTGATCTACAAACATATACAGCAGAGCAGTCCCATTAACACCAAAGTTTCGATATTCTACCAAAGGATAAAAAGGAAAACTGAAAACATAATAAAGGATAACTTAATACATAAGAATACTTCTATTATAAGGGAAATAATTAAATATTACACAAGATTCAAAGATTCATCTGGGGAAAAATTTCATATCTACCATTTAATTTTCATGAGTTGAATTAATACATTTAGAAATTAGGGAAATACAAATAGTTAACTGCAACAAATAAGTTAAAGAATTAATAATAAGAAAGCAGTATAAACTAATATATATTCAGACAAACATATATATTCAGATTTCTTAATTTTACAAATCACTTACCTTTGCTTTTGTAGAAAAAATATAAAAAGACTATAAATAATGAAGAAATAAAAAATCTTTGTGAAATTTGCTTTCTTATTTAGTCACCCGAGACCATTTTCTGACTATTTTTCAAAAACTCCTTGGGATTTATTATACTTAAATCTTCACCAAAACTGGCAATATTCTATTCTCTTAAAAATTAAACATCTCAACTAAGCATTTCTAAAATTATTAAAAATTATTAACATTCTGTGAAAGTTCTCTATAATGTTTAACTCAGCATAAAATTTACTTATTTGTTTCTAAAAAAATTCAGCACTCATATTTCATCATCATTCATAAGAGAGACACAGAATTGAATATCCAATGCAAAGCCGTATAATACACGTGGCTGGCTCAGTGGACTAGTCATATTTATGAACTCATGTAATTATAAAGTTTCTTTCAAGAGATTAAAAGATTTCAAGCAATTAAAAGCGCCAATTTTTTTTAAAGTACAATGGCTGTTTCTGATAAAGCTCAAATCACTTCTTATCAGCTCTCAGAACTGCAAGGAAAAAAATATGAAAGTTCATACTTTGGGTGAGTCACTTATCTGCATGCGAAAAAATCATCACGAAAATGCCAGGAAATGAAGCAAACAATGAAAATAAGCAAGCTTACTCTATTAATTTAACAACATGCATAATTGGAATCAAAATGAAAATATAGTAAGTTCAAAAATATGTGATTTGGGTTTAATTAAGAAATATAACATCTTCTAACTGAAAAATCAGAAGTCTTAACAATACATTTAAATAGAATATATATATATAAAGCTTTTAGCCAAGGTAAAGCAGAAATGAATATCTAAAAGTTCTGAGTTACATTTGCAATACAAGCTAAACATGTTTCTGCAGACAAATACTGGTGTACTAAATCAAATACTGTTGCAAAATAGGTTATGAAAAATCAGCAGTAAATGCTAATATTTGAATACAGTAAAAGCTAATATTAGAATACATTAAAACTTACCTAAAATAAATTGAATGCTATAGATTCCAAATTCTATGCACAACAACAAATCTACACACAATCTTGCAACTACAGTGGGATACTATACAGATTCTCACATTTTACTTCCTCACACCAATTTTTCTAATACACTGAAACACTATACAGAAAGACCATTTTATGTATCCTGAAGTAAAATTAATCAGCATTATTAATTTTTAAAGAATTTCCTAAATCAGCATATTATTTTGCGATTGAAAAATTTTACATTTAAAAGAATTTGAAACTTAGTCATTTTTTTTTTAAAGCAAGTAATAAAAATATGGCAGAACACTAGTAAATTTGGAATTTCTTAAAACAGTCTCTAGTGCTTACCATGAGAAACCTAGTGCAATTTATTTATAACAAATACACTTTTTTTTTAATAAATTGAATGCATAAGAATCACATGCAGTGTTTCTAGAAATATCATTTTTAATTGATATTTTTCATTAATAAACATTATTCTCTTTTTGCAGTCCACCGCTAACTACCCTTTCCATCACCAAATACAGTAAATGAAAAAAAATCCAGATATTCTAAACTTATAGATTTTTCTCTTAAATGAGGACAAACTATGAAAACAAGCATTTTCTTATTGCACAATATTATGATTCTTTCTTTTCACCTGACAATTAATGGACCCTTGCCACCAAGTCAAAAGACCTTGTAGTCAATGCACTACAGGTAGATATATTCTACTATATATATTAATGCTTTAACAAAATATATAACAGTATATAAGACAAAGATACTATTATATCAATATATATTTTGACAGTTATTAAACAAAATAAAATATCCACATTAATGAATTATAATAAAAAAATGGAAATTTAGGAACAAATTATTGAGAGGAAAATATGATAAAAAAATCACATTCATATCCAGTAACAATGAATAATTTCAAGATAATAAATTAAGATTTCCATTCACTGACATGGTTGATATTTTTAATGTTAAAATGTCAGAATAAAAATATAATCAATGTTTAACACAACTAAGTAATGAGAAACAATAGCAACAACTTGAAATATGATAATAATGTAATTCTAATAAATGAAATTTTCAAAGCTATTATAATTATTACTATTACTCTTTCTTTTATATACATTATATAAGGATTAATAATGAGTATACAATTATTTGATACAGATGAAGTTTCTAGATTTTTTATACTTTTATTTAAAAAAGAGAGGTCAATAAAAGTAGTGAATTTTTATTTACCTATTAGTTTTGGATGCAGAAAACAAAATCTGATGAAAGGCTACAACAGTTATTCAGACATTATGACAAAGTTACATTACAATAGATCTAGAAATATTTTCTACTACTTTTTTTTAATCATAAGTGGTTTCAAGAATAAGAATCAACAAAATAACGATTTATAGATGTAAAAGTCATTAACATTGAAAATTTAAAAAATAACATATACATATTATATATAATGATATTAACATAATAGCATATATTACACATATTTATATATTGATATTAACACAATAGCATACACTACACATATTTATATCAATACATTTTCAAATATTTTAATGATAATTAACAGATTTTTAATTGATATTAATGCAATCATTTTAACTACTCTTGTATTGAAATTAAAAACTCTTAGCACATAAACAAACATGAATTATACAATATAATCCAGAACATATATATTTTTATAGAACTTGTAAAAAGAAAGAGTGAAATAATAATCAGTCATGGTAAAGGCAATGGCATTTAAAGGTAGAAAAGATTATGATATACAGACTTTTATACATGAAAACTAAACATATAACATATTTCAACTATTCTATATAAATGGAAAATTAACTATTATACATTAATGGAAATCTATTGCTAATTATATCTCAAAAATACATCTGAAGAATAAAAGCACTTTCTAGCTAAAACATAACATTTACAGATGAAATTGTTTAAGAACATTTATATAAGGTATAGTTTAAAAAGGACTAACCAAAAAACAGCACTTTTTCCTTAGAAATGCTTCTAATGGACGTTGTTTTGAAAAAACATGAGTAACAGGCAGGATACTTTTGGCAAATAGTTTCATGAGAATACAGAAATGTTCAGCAATCTGAACATTTCATTGCAGAGGTAATTTACTCTGTCATTACACAGAAAATTTAATGCTGTTCATCATTTTAAAAATCTGATTCTTGTATTTAGGATGAAAATTTTTATATAATTTATATGCAATAATATTCAGCTTTATATTTTAGAATACCTTTCTTTTTATCGTTAATATACTCTATAAAATAATTTAAAAAAGACACACTGTTTAGAAGCTGAATACTGATCTTCACAAATACTTAGTTACTTAATTCACAAATTGGTTTTAATAATAAACGCATGTTTCGCATTGGGAAAAGAAATATTCATATATTTATATATAGCTCTCTCTTAATATATACATTTTATTTGTTACATTATTTTGCTTTAAACTGTAGATAAAATATATTCTACTAATGCACTTAAATATTCTTTTACTTTATGAATTTATGTTTTTCTTCAGTAGGAAACGAAGATGCAAAATAATATTTTTAAAAAAATATTTAAGTTAAATATCAAAAGAACATAAAATACATTGCATTTAAGGAAAATCACAAATTTTATGTCTTGTTTAAATGCAGTAATCCCTCATTACTCTTTTTTTGTTAAATTTTTTATTTATAATCAAGAAAAATCTCAAGTAGACTATACAAATTAGTGCTAAAATCTTGCATTGTTTATTGTTTTATTTTCATATTTTAATTGTTTGCAAATGCATTTGTTTAATTTCTGTTCTTCAAACTTTTTCAGTGTTTTAGAATAAGTGACAGATACCCAAGATACTTCAACCCTCAAGTGAAAAAAATTCATCTATTTGCAGGATACCAATGACAAGTAACAATCATTGTGGTAACAGTAACAACAGCATTCTATTTCTCCCATGTAAGAGCTGGTTGGCAAAGTTTAAAAATCATTTTTGCTTTTATAACTTCAAGCTTGTCAGGGAATTTGCCTCAGCTAACCACAGAGCACATAAAACTTAAATATGCAGCTAAAAGACTTAATATTTAATATGGATAAGAGTGTTTTTTTTTTTTTTTTTTTTCCCCTTTAGTCTAAAGAGGCGATTTGCCCTGAAGTACTATTAATTTTGTTTTGGTATTTTGCGTTGAAAACTATAAATGGTGAATCACTTTTCAAATTGTTGCCACCAAATATTACAGCCCTGTATTATATTTAAAGAAATCAATTAATGAAGAATCTGCATGAATGTATGCATGTTTCTTGCATTGTGATTAAATGATGGTATCTAGAGCCATCAAAATTTGAATAACATAATCTCCATAGAATATGGGCATATGGAAGCCCTAATTTGGAATTTGAAATTTGTTTTTTTATCGATTTCATATTTTGTAAGACTTCAACGAATTTTTGATTAACAAACTAAACAATTTCAAAGCAAGCAATGGCAATACTGAAAGGGGGGAGCATTTTTATATCCCACACACGAGACTCTGTATCGGAAATTCCAAAGACATGCTCATTTTAAAATTACTTTTCAATATTACTGTTGAACTGAATTTTATGGTTTGAGTACATAGAACATGATATTTAATAAATAAAGGTATCACACAAAAAAATTTTAAAATATCCCTTTGGATGTAATTTAAAATCTGAAACCTTATTATTAAGATTTTATTTACTTATTTATTTCTATAAATAAGCCGTAGAGATCTTTCTTATCTAAAATTGAAATGTTGTGCCTAGATCGTAGATTTAAAGCTGCCAAAGACAGATTTACCTTGCTGTTTTGCATAAATATGAGATGCTAGCTAACAAAGTCTTTGCTTGTTTATAAGCCACTAAATTCAGAACATTGAAGGGTAAAAACAAGTACTTTGCTTCATAGTACTTTGGTTGGCTAACAAATAAACATGGGTCACAGAAGAAATGTTTGGAAATTGGTTAATTATTGTTCCTTAAGTGTAGGATTAATTATGGTTAAAAACATACTTTTCAATGTCCTCTTGCTGGCTGAAAATACTCTAGTCTACCCTGTATGTTTGAAGCTATATTTTTGCCATCAAAAACAACCATTAGATCAAGGAGTAAGTTTTTAAGGCTTACATGTTTAAAGGTTTATATGTAAAGAATTTTCAATTTTTTTTTTTTTTTTTTAAGGAAGATCAATCAGACAGTCACACATGCAGAAAAATTATAATATCATGGATTATCTCATTAAATTAAACCTTCCATAACAAACGCTTGTTGGTGCAAATTATTTGCAAAAGAAACAAGTGATGAGAATATTCTACATTACTCATATAGTAACTACAGCATAAACTGCAGAATGTTTTGAAGTAGTAAGTGAAACAACTATAGAAGAGAGAATCTTGTGTTATGAACATAAAGACTGAAATTAGAGGAAATAGAAGAGTTTATTATGGTTGTGAAGAAATAATAAATGGTACTGAACTGATAAATGCTGAAACAGAAATGGAAGCAGTTAAGCAAGTTTTCTTTGGGAGTACAGTTAACCGATCACATTCTCCAAATGAATCCTCTCATGAAAAGAAAACTGAAGTTTAAAAGTTGCATTCAAATTTACTGCAGTCTAACAAAGAATTACACAGACTTTAGAAGAAGAAGAAGGGAGGGGGGGAAAGAAGAAGAAGAAACAAAGTTCTATCACAGTGTTTTCAGTTTGTTAATGGCCTAAACATTGATTAATAACTTTATTGAATTAATTTTCATTGTTATCCCCTATTATTATTCATAAGTAAACATACTCTGTTAATATGTATTGTTGTAATTTCAATTGAAATTAATTAAGTTCTGCATGAAGAGCTAAAATTGTACTAAATTCACTATTCAATATGCCCTCATAGTCTCATTACATGAGGTTTCATTATACAGGAAACAAAAGAAAAATATAATCCCTTAGCTAATGAGGGATTACTACAAGTATATTTAATTTTCTTTCTCATGTCTCAAAAATAATTTTTCCGTGAATTTTTTAATGTAAATTTGAGAAAATATGTTATTTTACTCTATTTTTACATTTAATTTTATAATTTTACATTGAATTGATGAGATAACAGAGAAACAATCATAGTTTTATTTTAGAGTACCTAAATCTTCTTGCTCAGTTAAAAAAGAAAACACTTTCCTATGAATTTTTTATGCTACAGAGATAGAAACATTCCATTGATAACATCTTTAAAAATGCATAGTAAATTTTCTCTGTAAGCATTTATTTATTCTTACTGTACCTAATTTCCTAAGAATAATATTTGTAAAAGAAAATGAAACCACTTAACTTATTTTAGAGCTTATCATTTAATTCACGATTCAAAAATTTTTTACAGAATTCAAGTCTATCAACAATAATCAAATTTCCTCTTCTTCCCTGGAGAGAAATACAAATCTAACACTTTTTATAAAAGATTCAATAATCGAATATTTATAAGCATATAGCATATGCACACAATGTTCAAAACAAGGAAACTTGCACACTTGCATCCAAGCACAAAATATACACTGCAAATCAACATTAACTTCAACTAAATGTTGTTGCTATAAGAAATAACTGATAATGTAGATCAAATGTACAAATTCATGCATTGCATAATATAACTCATCATAATGCAAAATTATTATCAGAATAAATATATCTCCATGAACTCTTTTCAAAGTGTTATAAATTCAAAAACCTCTCTGATCACTTGATTCAGAATTCAACATCTCAAATATTCTACTTCAGAATTTAACAATATATATCACATTATATGCAGAATTCAATAATAATATATGAATATGTAAAACAATTTAATTCAGTTTATTGCACAACTTCTGAAACGTAAGAGCATATATGCTGTTACAATTTAACCTGCATAATGTGTATATTTATAAATCATATGGATAAAATCCATAAATAAATTAAATGAACATGTAATGGAAGTTACATAAAAAATTCAGTAACCAGTATTGGCTACTATTTTCATAAACTAAAGCTCCTTAAATGATACCTAGGTTAGAAAAAATTTAACTTTGCAAACTTAGTCATTAATTAAAATTCAGAATAACAGTTTTAGATGCTGCAATGGTTTAAAAAAAAAAAAAAAAGCAAAAACCATAAAGGTTTTAAAGGTCACATTCCAAAGCTCATATGTAATTTTTTTTTAACTTACAGATTGCTGTAGTGAACCAAGTAGTAATTTTTCTAACTCTTTGGGAGAAAACACAGGAAGCGAACATGAATTTTTCTGGCACACGAATGCAACAGAATCTGATAATTCAGATCCATTTAGCTGTTCCAGTGCCTTAAGTCTTTCAGATAATAAATCTTTTGAATCTTTATTAGCAAGTAAAAGCACTTTAAATGGAAGAAAATGCTGGTGAACTTGTTTCAATAAATTCTGCGTATCTTCACAATCTCTGTTCCCAGTTACAATAACCTAAAAGTGTATTATTTCTTTATTATTTTATAAATGAAGCACAGATAAATATTCTTACAATAACCAAACAATCTTAATAATTAGTTTTACCAATAATAATGATTAGCTTTTTTTTTTTTTAAATTTTGTCCAATTATATATAACGTGGACTATATTTTTAATAATAAGTATGATGCAAAATTAACCAACAAAATTTAAATAAAATGCAGTTTCTCTGTACTCAAAATTAGAAATAAAAACTAATGCATATAAATTATAATTACATTTTTAACAAATATATTGCTTATCAGTACATCACGTAATTGAGGTTTTACTGCTTGTATGGCACAAAAGCTTAATTTCATATTGACAAACAAAAAACAAACAATAGATAAATTAGAAAATAAATAGTTTTGATATATTAACAATATTTTAACCAAAAAATCATTCGTTAGAAAAATATACAGTTCTTTGATGTTAATTATCTATTATAAAAGTACTGACATATAGCAAAATACTATACTAAAATAAAAGTGAGTGTGGTGAGAAATAAAAGACTGCAATTTGCAATTATAGAAATCTGTCAAATCAGGCATACACTAGAATTTTATTAACAAATAATTTAGCATGTAAGAATATATAGCATATCTCTGAATCTAATAAAGATATTTAACTGTCTCGTACAAAGAATACAAAAAGCAAATTGAACAATGAAAATTATACTCAAAACTGCATTAGTTTATACACAGTTCTATTACAGCTTTCATGAATGGCCTATTTTTAGTGAGTGGAACTTATACGATATCTTACTTACTCTTTTGTTTGTATCTCTTTGCTTCTATCCTCCTTCCTCTATGGCTACAAATTGCAGATGAATACAACACAAAACAAAGTAAGGACAGAAAGTAAGGACAGAAGACATTAGGTGGAAGGAGGGAAAGGCAAAATAGAACACTATTTAAGTTCCAACTCACAAAGTGAGTAGGTCATCAACAGAAGCTGACTATTTAAGCTAATGCAGTCTGATGTGATTTTAATATATCTACGTATACGACATAAATTTTCATTTCTCAGTTTTGCGACTTTTCAAAATAATTCCTGAGTCAATCACAGCTTAATTTCTAAAATTAGAAATGCTGAAGTCCTAATGAAAATCACTCGGAAAAAGGACAAAATAAAGTAATAAAATACAGAGTGTGTTTTACACAATTTTAATCAAGTTTTGGGGCTGTTTAATTAATATTTAAAATGTAAACAGTACAGATTTTTAAATATTCGATCTCGTAGCCTTTTTTCTGGGCTAAATGTCTGCATTATTATTTCCCTTTTAAGACAGTTTTCCCTTAAATTGCCTGGGGTACTTATTTCTATTCCTCTTAGACTACTCTCCAAAGTCCATCAACCTGGGCGATTTGCATTTAGAAAGAGCTCTTTTCAAGAGATCAAAGGCTCAGTAGTCCATAGGTGAAATGTCATGCACTAGGCAGGAATACATTGAGAAGTTATACATGCAATAACTGCATCAGTCTTTGTCATTTCAAGGAATGAAGTGGTACTTTTTAAAGTATGACTTGTTGCTTTGCCTTGATGAACAAGTTATTGAAAGTTATTGGTCCTTGAAAGTTATTGGGTTAAAGATACATAATTTCTTCTGTAAATATCAGATGTAAAACTTTTTCTTGTAGTGTATTAAGTTGATTTTAATATTTTTTCCCACTCTTCTGATTTTTAATTTTCCATTGTGAGAGAATCCTGTGACAATCATAAAGCCCTTCTTGAAACATTTTTGGCATTGATGGAACCAGGTTTTTTCCTCATTTTTTTCAATAGTAAACACACCTTTTATTGTTGCAGTCATTTAGGTAAACCCATGCTTCATCAAAGATCACAATGTATTTCATTTATCGCCTGCTGAGCAGTTTTCACGTAGAGTTATACAAATTGTTCTGTGTTCAGCTTCTTTAAGTTGTAAATTTGGGTTTATTATTTTATTTATTGTTGCTACAGATATGTTTAAAAGACTTTGCAATTGGTTTCTGCATCAGTGGATTTTTCCTTGTTACCAAAGATTTAACTTTAGAAACATTAGAAACAATATGTACATTTTCTAGGTATTTGATTGGAGTCTTCCTCCCATGTAGAATTATGATGGATAGTTTTCCCCTTTCTGATTAATAACATTGCTTATTTTGCCCTTAAAAATTTTAATACCATGCATTTGATAATGTTTCTGAATTACAGAATAAGAATATTTTACTTTGGAAAGTGCAAAAACATATTTTTCAGACCACAGCTTGTTTACATGTGATATTTTGAAAGAAGAATAAATTTAAAAGTAGCACATGATAATCCGCATTCCAAATAATAAGCTGTTGCCAGAAATTTTTATTTCAAAACATTTGCTTTTTAAAAAATGTCTTAGCAAATTTGTTCAAAAAATGTGTAAGCTCTCTTTGTAAATAATAATTATAATACTAAATAAAAATTTAATAAATTATTATATTAATGATGAATAGTTAAATAATAAAATACAACTGTGGACCTTATCTTATTTGGGACTTTGGCTTGATTTACAATTTCATTCAAAAATTACAAAACAGCTCATACAACCTACGACTGAATTTAAGGCCCTGAATATATGGTATAATGCACAATAAAGAGATGATAAAAACAAAGACTATATTCCTCTCCCAATAAATCGATGACAAAAAGTAAAACAGTTAAATCATCACTAATTGAGAACAGAAAGACTACTAGAAACAGTGTCAGAGAAAGAAAAGAAATTTTAATGGAAAAGTGTAATTTCAAAAACAGAGTACACTTCATTACTTTCTGACTGCAATCCACTGCAGATGTACTGTATTTGCCTGCATATAAGACTCACCTGCACTATAAAATGCACCTCCTTTTATTATACACATTTTTGAAGGAAAAATTTTATTACGGATAATTAAAATGAATTTACAGTATTTTAAATATAAAGAAATGCAAATACAAAGTAATACTTTTTGCAAATACCCAGTCTATGAGTTGGGTTGCTTTTTTTAGATCTTTTTCCTGATTCCACCAAGTTCTTATCATTTTCTTAGTTGGCCCAAAATATCTCTCTGCAACCGTTTCCATGTTCTTTAGCATACACAATCACACATAGCTTGTATGATATGTTATAACAATGCTGATGTTGTTTTTGAGCCATAACCTACCAATATATTTCAGAAAATTGAATAGTGGAAATTTCACACACTTAAAAGTCGTTCAAAAAAACTGCAAAGCTTAAACGAACCCAGCTATGACGTCGATGACAGCGCATATGCATTCACTAAACTCGACATAACTATAATATTCCCATACTCCGCAAGGAAATAAGAAAAAAAAAAAAAAATCGTATAACTCTGAATAGAGGAATGAAGGTAATAAAAAACTGAGTATCGACGTATAAGATGCAGTATCGATGTACAAGACGCATCCCGTTTTCCAGATCTGTTTTCAAAGAAAAAAGTGTGTCTTATACACCAGCAAATACGGTAATTGTAGCTGTCAAGTAAACTGTGACAGGGAAAAAACTTACCTCAAATCTGATCTGATATCAACGTGAAACTGTACAAATGATAATTTTAAGTCACTGTATTTGGTTATACTGTTAAAAAAAATCTGATGTGTACACCACAACTTCCTTGTATGGAATATTAAATTATACACATTTTTTTATGCATTTCATTTAAACTTATTGGAAGGAATTAAATTTACTTCATCGATAGCGCATAAACCACGATAGAATAAATGCACTCTGTAAAATTACTATATTTATTTGCCATAGTGACATTGTGGCCCTAGGTTCACTTAACAGGGTTACATTTTATCATTTTTTAACTCAGAATGTACAAAATTTATATCATCTTATGAATTATCTAATCGTTGCCACATGTTTTATTCAGATCCTATAATAAATGTAGATCGATGTATAAAAGAAATTAAGCAAACAACAGCAAAAAGAAACAGTTTTTCACAGACGATTCAGTATTTCTCATTCAATTAATTCAGTTTTCACTTCACAACAAGGCAAAAATACATACAAACTCAAAATATCTGTATTGAAAATTATAAAGTAAATCTTAAACACTTATTTCCTTGAACAAATTCCAGAATGGATTTAGCATGATTTAAGTTGCAATAATAAAAGAAAGTGTCATCTTTGTTATTGCGAAGCTTACTTTCTCTAGATTGGCACCAAAAACAAACATGTCTGCCATACCAATTTTTTTACATATTTCGACTCTACGACTCAAATTATGCCTAAATATTAAATTTTGTAAAATTTGGTGCAAAATTTACGGAGAAATTCAACAAGTTATGTCGGGCTTTTCATTCAGTTTGCACCAAAATTAATTCACTTGGCGAACTTCTTAATATGTGGCAACCTATTTTCCTTTCCATTTTTACATAGTGCGTGAGAGGAAGAAAAGACTCAATCATTCCTTCCTTCAAATAATGTTCTTTATCTTATATTTTTAATTATAATTGTTATTAATTTTTAGCAATTTTTTTCTTTTTTGAATTTCATTTTAACTGTTTAAATTGCATGGTTTCTTTCAAATAACTGTCTTAAAAATTTCTATTTACTCATTCGAACTGCGTAGTTTAAATCAAAGGTGCATCGTTTATTTTTTTTCCAAATAGTTTTCTTTATACTACTATATTTTTAGACTTTTATTTTAATTTTTAATGTTGAATTGTCTCTTCAGATAATTATTTAAAATTTTCTATTTATTCATTCGAACTGAGCATTTTAAATATATTTATTAATATAAATTTTCCAGAATTTGATTTTATTTATTTGAATTATGTTTCTTTCGGAAGAATCTTTGTGACCCAGACTATGATGCATTTGAAAAGAGATATATATATGCATATATTAAAAGAGAAAATACAGTAAAGCACAGTTAACACAACTTTCAATGTTCCATTCAGAAAAGAAATATATAAATAAGAGAGATGTACAACCGACATTTTAACTTAGGATG